AGGGAGCAGGGAGAGGGTGTTCTTTTTCATGTTGGCAGTAGGGTTTTACAGGGATCAGTGCTGGGACAGCGTCAACACAGTGTAGAACTGGAGGAACACAGCAGGTCAGGCAGCAGAGGAGTAGGAAAGTTTCAGGTGGGACCCTTCTTCAGAACTGATGACTATGTTAACTCTGACTCCAGCATCTGCAGTTCTTGGTATCTTTGAGTGCTGGGACAACAACTGTTTACAATATATATTAATAACTTGGAGGAAGGAAGTGAATGTACTGTAGCCAAATTTTCAAATGGCAAAAATAGTTGGAAAGGCAGGTTGTGAAAAGACTACAAACAATATTTACAGAGATATTGATAGGTTAAGTAAGTGGGCAAACAGTTGAAAAATGGAACATAATGTGGGAAAATTTGAAATTATTCATTCTGGAAGGGAGAGAAAAAGAACAGTACAGCATACTTTGTTTAAACTTGCACCTTATAAACCAGCACACTCAATAAAATGGAAAAAACGTACACCTCAAATACCAGAAATTTACTGTATTATCGCAATCTCTATTGTCAGTAAAGGGTGTGAATGAGAAAGCTCTCTGCTGATAAGTTTTATTTAAGGCAAAGTTGCATTATTATTCAAGTGATTTATGTCATAAATAGAGCATAACAGTGAAGTGTATAACTCATGCACCACATTTCTGTTACTTAGTGTGTGTTTATACATTGATTATGTGACCTCTTAATCAACCAGAATATTTGGTCGATTGGCACAATCCTGGTCCCATAGGTGCTGGTTAATAAATAGTTTGCTGTATTATTTAAAATGGAGAAAAACTGTGGAAAGTGGCAACACAAAGAGACTTGGGGATACTTACACACAGATAGAAAGCTAGTACACAGGTGCAGCAGGTAATCAGGAAGGCTAATAGAATGTTGGCGCTTATGTCAAGGGGGTTGAAGTATAGGAGTAGGTAAGTCTTACTGCAACTGCAGAGGATGCTGGTGAGACCACGTCTGGAGTACTGCAGGCAGTTGTGGTCCCCTTATTTAAGAAAATCTATTACTTCATTGGCAGTTCAGAGAAAGTTCACTAGGATGATCCTCGGCATGGAGATCTTATGAGCAAAGGTTAAACGTGTTGGACTCTACTTATTGGAATGTAGAAGAATGAGAGATGATCTCATTGAAACATTCAGGATTCTTAAAGGGTTTGACAGGGTAAATGCTCAGAGGAATTTTCCCTCATGGGTGAATTTAGGACCAGAGGACGTAGTCTCAGAATTAAGGGCACCAATTTAAGACTGAGATGAGGAATTTTGTCTGAGGGTTGAGTGTCTTTGGAATTCCTTACCACAGAGAGCTGGGGGACAGATCCTTGTGCATATTTATGTCTTAGATAGATTATTGATCAGCAGGGGAATCAAGGTTTACAGGGAAAAGACAGCAAAGTGATGTGAGAAGTGTCGTCGGATCAACCGTGATCCTATTGAATGATTGAGCAAGCTGAAGGGAAATTAAAAGTCATCCATATTGCTGAGGTTCTGGATCACACATAGGGCAGATCAGATAAGGGTGACAGATTTCCTTCCACAAAGGCAGTTTGAAACCAGAAGGATTTTTAAAAGGAAGCCTCGTGTGCTCAATGCTGCATGTTCAAATGTGATAGGCACAGGACTTCGTAGCTGGACCCTTGATCGCTATTGCTTAAAATAAAAAAAGAAAGAAAGAAAGAAAGAAATGGGTGGCACGGCAGCACAGTGGTTAGTATTGCTGCCTCAGCGCCAGGGACCCAGGTTCAATTTGAGCATCGGCCGATTGTCTGTGTGGAGTTTGCACGTTCTCCCTGTATTTGCATGGGTTTCTTCTGAGTGCTCCAGTTCCCTCCCACAGTCCAAAGATGTGCAGGCTTACGTGGATTGGCTATGCTAAATTGCCCGTAGTGTCTAGAGATGTGCAGGCAAGGGGGATTAGCAATGGGAAATGCAGGGTTACAGGGACGGAGTGGGGCTGGGGCTGGGTCTGGGTGGGATGCTGTTTGGGGAGTTGAAGTGAACTCAATGGGCCAAATAGCCTGCTTCCACACTGTCGGAATTCTATGATCAAACAGGATCCTATGAATTCATAATGATTACATGGTCAAAATTAAGTCAACTTTTCATTCCAGTTTTTATTGCATTCAAATTTTACCATTTGCCATGGTGAACACTGTCACTGTTCTTTCATTGCCAGGGTCCAAATCCCAGAAACTCCCGTCCTAACAGCAAATGAAAAATCTAGCTTAGCAACACATTCACAAGGGCAATAAATGCTGGTTTTACTCATCACATTACAAGAATTAATAATACAATAAAAGATTACAAAACCTTGGGTTCTACTCCTTAGATTGAAGAAGATTAAAAGGAAGAGATAGAATTTCTAAAGAGAGAGGTTTAATAGTGTAGTTATCTTACTGGGCTTGTAATCTACTGGCCTGACCCAGTGATCCAGGGGTAATGAGTTCAAATACAGAAATAAATTGAAATAAATGAATTGAAAATTGAAGAGTATCACTAATAGTTACCATGAAACTGCTGGATTGTCGGAAAAATTCATGTGACTTATTAACGTCATTTAGAAAAGTCAATCTACTGCCCTTGCCTAGTCTGGCATAAATGTGACTGTAGACAAAGCAACATAACCTTTGAAATAATCTAGCAAGACACTTTGTTTTATCCAAGAATGCCAAATAGGAATGAGCAATAAATCCTAAAATTCCACAATGTCCAAATCAGATCGTACTTTGAGTACTGCATTTAATTTTGGTCATCAAGAGATGAGGGAAACAGTCAAACAAAGTGAGTAGTAGAAACAGGTCACTGATTCTTACATCAATATTCAATTACAGGGAAGGACTGGAAGAACTGAACTTGTTTAGTGTTGTAACAGGACAATCTTGAAAGGAACATACAAATATATAAAATGTTAAATGACATTGAAAATACAAATCTGAAGCATTACTTTGAGGTACACCAGGATAGTAAAGTAAGATATGTAAATTCAAATTCATGAAAAGGAAGTTTTGGTTAGATCCCAGGAAAGCAACTTCAAACAAAGAACTACAGCACAGACTGGAGGAACAGCATCTCATCTTCACACCAGGCAGTTTACAACCTTCTGGACTTAATATTGAATTCAGCACCTTCAGATTGTGAATTCACTCCCATTTCTTCCCTTTCTTTTAGCTTTACTTGTCTCATTCTCTGTCATCATGCCCTCTCTCCCATCCGCACCCAACCATCTCCAGTGCGACCGTCTGTTCTTTCCAGTTTGGTAAATTGGACACACTTGCCCTGCTATTCTCACGTTTCAATACTGCATAAATACAGCCCCCTCTACACTTCACATCAGCTCTGATGAAAAGTCATCCAGACGCGAAACATTAGCTTGCTCTTTCTCTCCACAAATGCTGCCTGACCTGCTGATTTCTAGAATTTTTTGTTTTTGATTCAAACAAAGAATGATGTTCAGGATAGATGAGTGAAAATGAAAACCTTAGATTATCTCAGATGATATTTAGAATGCACTGGGGCAGTGAAAGGATGTTATTTGAATACTTCATCTCACTGCTATGTGATTTAAAGTTTACTTTCTAGTACATAGAGAAAACTAGAGTCATTGAGTCATACACTAGTCCACGCCGACCATATTCCCAAACTAAACCAGTCCCACTTATCTGCTTTAGGCCCATATCCCTCCAACCTTTCCTCTTCACGTACTTATCCAAATGTCTTTTAAATGTACCTGTATCCACCTCTTCCTCTGGCAGTGCATTCCACACACGAACCAATCTGAGTAGAAAAATGTTGTCCCTCATGTCCTTTTTAGAACTTCCTCCTCTCACCTTTAAAATATGCCCCCTAGTTTTGAACTCGCTCACCCTAGGAAAAAGATCCTTTTTTCCCCACCTTATCTATGCCCCTTATGATTCTATAAACCTTGAAGGTAACCCCTCAATCTCCTACACTTCAGTGAAAAAAGTCCCAGCCTATGAAGCCTATTTTTGTAACCCAAACCCTCCATTTCTGAACAGGCTCCAATTTAATAATACCCTTCCTATAGCAGGGCGACCAGAACTGCACACAGTATTCTGGAAGAGGCCTCACCAACATCCTGTAGAACCTCAAAATGACATCCCACCTTCTATAATCAAAGGTCTGAGTGATGAAGGCAAGCATGCTGAACATCTTAACAACTATGTACCTGTGTTGCAAATTTTGAAAAATTACGTACAGGAACCCCTAGGTCCCTCTTTTCTATGACACTATCCAGGACCCTACTATTAATTGTATATGTCCTGCCCTTTTTATTTACAAAAATGCAATACCTTGAATTTATTGAAATTAAACTCCATCTGCCACTCCTCAGTCCATTGATTAAGATCCCAATATAATTTTCGTCACTGTTCAGTGTGGAACCAATTTTCGTGTCATCTGCAAGCTTACTAACCATGCATCCTATATTCTCATACAAATTGTTTATATAAATGACAAATAAAAGTGGACCCAGTACCGATCCTTGTGGAACACTGCTGGTCACAGCCTTTCAGTCCGAGAAACAACCCTCCATCACTGCCCTCCATCTCCTACCTTAGTCAATTTTGTATCTAATTGGCAAGCTCACCCTGAATGCCATGTGATCTAACTTTACTAATTAGTCTACCATGCGGAACCTTATCAAAGGCTTTACTGAAGTCCAATAAACAACATCTACCACTGTACCCTTAGCTTCATCTTACTAATTGACAATGTTATTTCTCTGTGCATGTTTTTCCTTCAATTATTTAAAATGCCCCTGCCAAAAATTCTGACCAATACCAGAAAAGATCAGTTATTGTTAATGAGAGAACTTTGTGTCTTCTCTTAATTTGTTTTCTATATTTAAGGTAAAGAAAATGTTTGCAATACACTTTCACCTGTGTTTTGCTTGGAACTCAAGATATTTTTCACCTTTTGTTTTCACTGTCCTTCCTAATAGCAGAAAATCTGGAATGAATTCACTACCACATTCTAGATTTAGTTTAACTGGCAGGAATCCAGACTACATCGGTGGCTACAAATTAGTCATTTCTACATTTTCTGGAGTTGAACGCAAATTTGGACTTTACCTACCACGATTTTCACCATCAAACCCACCATGATCCTGCGATTCTAAAGCCAAACAAAATGTTACGACTCTTGTGGCAATCAATAGTGAGAGAAAGAGGTAACATATCCTGGTTTACAGCCCTTTGATGGCTATCAACCTGAGAGATGCTTTCACTTGTGTGATTTGAATGTAAGAATAGTTACTAGGTACAGAATGCATAATTACATGAATTGTTTGTTTTGTGATTTATTAAAAAAGCTTACTTTTACATTTTGATGTTTTATGTATATTAATGTACATAGTGAACTGTTTGAAAGGACCTAGTTGCTAATTTAATACAAGGCACTGTTGAGATTATAATTTTTTCTTCAACATTGGATTAACATATCCTTGACAAATTATGATACTTCAAATAAATATATTTTAATCAGTGGAAATTTTAATCTGTAATGTAGAAATGATTCGATTGTATTTGAACAAGGAATTATTCCAATACTGATCAGTATTTCAATGCAAGTTCAGTTTGATTTCTTTAGAATGAACCATTGAAACATCAAATATATCTTGGCAGTTCATTTTAGATTTGAAAGCATGTTTATTGTTGAATTGAAGATAATGTTGCTGAAGTTATTTGTGAAAACTGTGATGGATTTGCAACGACTTAAACATTCCAGTTATGCTTGAAGTTGGTTTAAATGATAGTTAAATATATGGAAACACAAACTATTTGCAGGCATTGTGCATGCCTTTTCAAAACATTTTAATACTCACAGACACTCTTGCATCCAGTGGAAATACATATTCAGTTGTTAATGAGCTTGTCTGTTAGTGATAAAATAGTACCCTGTTTTCCAGTATTTTACATGTGGATAATATATCATATATATAATTCCACAATTCTGGAAGATCTTAGAAATCTTGTGTCAAGGGGCCAATGGCATGCAGCTGTGATTGGCTCTCAGAAGGTTTTTTGCTGCTGTTCGTTTCTGTATGGTGCCTTGCCCTGCATAAATGTCATTGCAACATTTATAGCTGGGAATACGTCAAAGTTGAGAAATAAGAACGTGAGACTTGCAGCACTGGTAAGCATGAAAGCTTGAGGTGCAACAAATGAATGTTTTAGATTGCTAGACATTGTTGGTGTGATGTGGTGCATTGAGTAGTTGTGTGAAATTGGTGATGCAGGGTATTGGGAGCCAACCTTTTAAGAGGTATTCACTGCCCTTGACCACTCATGAGATCATAGAGCAAACTGTAGTCAGGTCCTTAAGACTAGATTTCTGGCACTGATCTCCATGGCTAATGCCATTCTTTTCTAAATGTGTATTGGATGACTTTTTGACCATCTACAGAAGGATGACTTTTCCTCTCCTTTTACACCTCCTGCATCAAGGCCATTATTAGGAATGTGATAACGTGGGAGCTCTCTCACTGTTTTGTTACTCCTTATACTTCATTAAATTAGGAACAGAAGCAGGCCATTTCACCCAACAAATCTGCTGTGCTGTTCACTATCGGATTAAGGCTTCATTCCACTTCGCAGTTTGTCCCCTCCCTTAGTCCTCTTGTAGATCAAAGATCTGTCTAACTCAGCATTAAATATACTCAGTGACAGAGTCTCCACTTTCCTCCAGGAACTAAAATTCCAAAGATTAACAATCCTCCGAGAGAAGTAGCTCCTCCTCATCTCAGTCTTAAATGGGAGACCTCCTTTTGAAACTATGCCCCCTAATTCTGAGGCAAGATAGGGTTAGCATTTATAAGCTCCCTCATATGTTTCAATGAAATAACATCCCATTCTTCTATTTTTTGACAAGTATAGGTTGGAACTTTTAAGTCTTCTTCACTGGACAACCCCCCTCATTCCAAGAATCAGTGCAGTAAATCTTCTCAACTGTTAGAATTAGAGGCCCAATGCCATACTCTATATGGTCTCACCAACACATTTTAAACAAGTCTTCCTCCTATTGTATACTTGTATATTGCAACTCCTCAGCATTAAATGCCAACATTCTATTCACCCTAATTATTAACTGTACCTATGTTAATATTTTGTGATTCATGTAAAAGGACACCCAGATCCCTTTGTAATGGATAATTCTGCAGTCTCTTTCCATTTCTATAATATACAGCTTTACTATTTTGCCTACCAAAGTGCACAATCTCTCATTTTCACACAATATAGTCATCTGCAAAATCTTTGCCCACTCACAATATCTGTATCCCTTTGTAGATGCTTTGCCCTCCTCTTTGCAATTTGCTTTCCTACCCATTTCACTATCTTCAGCGAATACAGTCAGTACTTTCATCCAAGTCATTAGTTGTCAGGATGACAGACAACCCTGGATCACCTACTGAATTTTTAATTACAACATTCCCCTCCCCCCCCCGCCAAATAGAAGACATACAGCTAAAAAACAAAAGACCGAGAACAAAAATTCTAAACAATATAATTCACGGACAGTCTGGAAGCCCTGTGTGGATTAACCTCAGCCTTGAGGGACATGCTGAAATGTCATACCTGATGAATGTCAAGTCCCATTGAAGAAAGGACTTTGAAAGGGAGGAAGGTGCTGCAAACTGTACTGCAGTCTCCTGTAAGGATAAGATGACACAGCTCTGGGTGGGATCAAACTGGCAAAAACAAAACAATGTTTCTGTAGGTCAAGGGTTCAATGCAGAGGGTTCTTGTCGACACAGAGCAATGAACAACCCTCACATATTGTGGAAAATAAAGTTAGATCCAGGTCCTTGGATTTAGTTTGCAGTTCAACTTTCACATTTCATGAGAGGACCAGTCATACTGCTGGCCTGAACTTGCTCAGATTCCCAAAAAATACTTTAAGATATTGCTGCAGCTGATTTTCTTTAAGAATTTACTTTTATTCTCAGAGAGCTCTTTTTAAACCTCTCCCGCAAACAGAAAATATCCCACAGGAAGTGGCCAAATCTTCCATTTTTGAATTCTTGTAAGCCATTAATATGTGTTCCTAATGGTTAAAATATGTTGTTCTCAGAAACTGTCCCGTAAACTATGAACTGCCCATCTAAACTAACTTTCTGCATCTGACTTTTCCAGTTTATATAACCTCTCATGAATATTGTCATGCTTTTATGACAAGCTGCCATTATTTCTTTATGCTTCATCCTCCCACGTGGTTACTGTTTTCAGTAAGCTGTACAGGCCCCTTAAGTGATCTCATGTCTTTATCATTTCTTTTCTCTCCACAAACCATATCTATATCCTAGTTTTTCCTGAAGTTAGCTCATTGTTCTTTGTTGTGCTAATATCAGTATTGGACAGAACCACCCATCAATATCATCATGCAGACCTCTTTCTCTCTTTCTCTTTCTCTCTTCCCCCACCACCTCATGGCTACCAGATTGCACTTATTCATTTCTATTTGTGCTCACAGTTCATCAATTAAGCTTTTAATACCATGTGTTCAGGTACAGTCTTTAGTTCTATCATTTAAGTCTGTCTGTAATTTTAAAATTTGATCTAATGTTCTTACTGTTTAGCTTGAAATCTTTAAGACCCCTAGGTATGCAGCTCACAAAGAACCCTGGCCTCCAGCATGGTTCAAGTTGAAGCCATCCCATCAGTACAGATCCCATTTTTAAACGAATTTTCTGCCAAAGCAGAAAAAAAAACCCTCTGAAACCTGTTGGATAAGTGCAAGATCAGAGGCTTCTGCTTTCTGGCCCTCCTTAATTGCTGCAATTGTAGTCACACTGTCCTGTCCCCAAACACTGACCAAATCGGAAGACCGTGTGACTGCCATGTGGCTCAAAGAATCCTGGTGACTCTCCTCATCCCTGATTTGCAACAATATCTGTAGTTCAGCCTCCAGGTCATGAAGTCTAAGCAAGAACTGCTCAAATACTCAGAAATTCACCAAATAACCAGCTTCTTCACTTGTAGCAAAGTAAGAATCAATGACAGAAGGCTGAAAAGTTAGAAGAAGCCAAGACAGCAGACCACCTCTTCCCAAAAGTCAAGTGCTAAATTGCAACATATTGGATGGATTTATATCTTAACGCAGAAGATGCATCTGACCCAGTTACAGAGGAATCACTTTCAGCTGATTATCATTTCTTCAACTATGCTGAACTCCTCTGTGATGGAATGCTTGTTAACATTCTCGACTCCGACTCAGAATTGGAGACTTTTTTAAATTTCAGAGGTTGCCAGAATGCCATGTGCTTAAATAATTATGTAATTACCTCAGTCAGTTCATTGGGACTTCTGAGGAGTGCTGATGGATGTCTTTCAAGGATATCTGGCAACTGGAAGATCTGGTGCCAGCTGGTGTGCTGCCAAGCCAAAGGGCCAGAAATACCAGTTTCAATCTCTGGTTTCTGTTGTGAGTTGATATGAGCTCAGACAGTAAATTTTTAAAAATTGCATTACATTTTGCTACATCCTCAGAATATTCCACAGCCATTTAATTGCTTTTCAAATGCAATCAATGCTGGTATGTAAGCAGAGTTTACACATGTGAACTGACCAGCTATGTTCCACAAACAGAAGCTGACTGACCAGTTTACTGTCAATTATCAAATCCTAAAATGGGCACTGTACCCAAAAATATTGACTTGAGTAAATGGGTCAAAAATGAACCGTTACTAACCACCTTGAAACGATTCCTGTGTTAAGGGATGATCATGATCAAACATTAGCTAACTAAATGATTGGCAATTGTAATGAACTTTACAGTCCAAAAGCCTAATTATGACCTCTGGCTGGGTGCACAGTGAATGACCACTTGATGTGGTACTTTACCCCATCATGAGTCAAGTTGGCATTTGATGGCAAGCTAGTGCCACTGAAATCATAAATACACAAAATTTCCACTAACAGTAGTGTTGGCTAAGTTAACAGCCAGTGTTTTACATAGCTAAGTTTTTAGAAGGAAAAAAAATAGCATAAAATAATATGAGATTATTTCTTAATAGAAGTGTTGCTGAGAAAATTTTCTTTTATTCATAAATGGGATGAGGGCATCTCTGGCTAGGCAGCATTGCCCATCCCTAATTGCCCAGAGGGCAGCTCAGAGTCATTCCACATTTGCTGTGGGTCTGAGGTCACATATAGGCCAGATTAGGTGAGGATGGCAGTTTCCCTCCGGAAAGGATATTAGTAAACCAGATGGGTTTTTCCCAACAATCAACAATGGATTCATGGTCATCATTAGATTCTTAATTGCAGATATTTTATTGAATTCAAACTCCACCATCTGCCGTGGCGGGATTCAAACCCAGATCTGCAGAACATTATCTGGGAATCTGGTTAACAGTCCAGCAGTAACACC